TCCTCTCTAAGCACGCGTATATATTTCCGTGTTTAAAAAAAAAAAAAAATTTTGTTATCACTTCTCATTTTACAATTTTTCCTATCACTTATAATATGAAATGCGATATTATCATATGCTAATGTCGAGCAAGGGTAAAAATACTAGGTCCAGGAGCCTCGATACTACAATGAGTTCTCCTATTAAAAAAAGAACAAGGCGTTCGAAAAGAAATACTCCACCAGCCACACCAGGGAGCTCTGTTGAAGAAGTGGATCCCCAACCTGGTACCTCACAACAACAAAACAATCATGAGACAACTCAGACTGGTGAAGAATCGCCGTTTTTTACTCAGAACCCATTTCAAGTGCTATCAAATACACAAAACGAAGAAATGGAAGCAGCACCCACCCCCAGGGAACCCAAACCCCCACCAATATTCCTTTGGAATATTAAAAACTTTCAGTTAATGTGTCACCAATTGAATAACCTAGTGGGCTCAGGAAAATATTTATGCCAAAGCCGCACCAATGACACTAAATTAATGCCCGACACTCCAGAAACTTACAGAAAAATTATAAAATATTTATCTGATACCAAGGCGGATTACCACACGTATCAACTGCGTCAAGAGAGGGCGCTCAGGGTCGTTATCAGAAGACTGCACCCATCTACGCCAACAGATGCTATAAAAGAAGAGCTCATGGGTATGGGATTCCATGTTCGCCAGATAGTAAACATATTCAAGGAGGATAGGAACAGCCTGGAATAAAAAGTAAAATACCGCTCCCACTATTCTTCATTGACCTTGACCGAACGCCCCAGGTCGAAGACATCTACAAGGTCACACGCCTTTATTACACCAGCCATACGAAAAGATATTGTCATCACATTCCTAGATGTGTGAGGTGTGGTGAGCATCACAAAAAATAAGAATATAGGAAGTCTAGAACTTCACCTGCAGTATGCGCTTTATGCCACCAAGGGCACCCTGCCAACTACAAGGGTTGTCAAACATACAAAGAATTAAAAACAAGAATGTACGCAACTCCTAGAGAAGAAGGGACATCCAGGCCACCAAGACAACCCTCTAGAACAGTGAACGGAAGAGTGACCTATGATCAGATGTTCAAAGGAGACACTATAAACACTCAATCTCAGGCCCTGCCACAAGAACCTCAACCTCGAGAATTCACAAATCAACCTCAAGACCCACATCCCTCCATCCCTGAACCTAGGTTCAATACCCAGACATACATTCCTCCTCCTTCCAATTCCACTGACCTCACAAGCCTATTAACTTCTTTCCTCTCTGAATTTAGATCCCTCATCACCCCTCTTATTTCATTACTTACCAATGTTATATCCAACCTCATTCCACCGCCGAGAAATCCATAAATGTCCTCAACCAAATCCCTTTCCATTCTCCTATGGAATGCGAATGGTATTCGAAATCACATCAACGAACTGACAATCTTATTACATGACAAAAACATCGACATAGCACTAATAACTGAAACCCGACTAACCAACAAACGACAAATCAACGTTCCTGGCTACAATATTTATAGAACCGATCATCCTGATGGAACAGCACATGCTGGCACTGCTATAATTATCCACCGATCTCTCTCCCATCATTTATTTCCCTTACCAACCCATAATTTCCTACAATCCACTGCCGTAATAATCCAAACTTCCCTTTACCCAATAACATTAGTTGCGGCATATTCCTCGCCTAAAATACCCATTTCCGAATCCCAAATAATTTCCTTCCTGAATTCCTTAGGACACCATTTCATCCTAGGTGCAGATTTAAATGCAAAACACCAACAATGGGGAGCCAGATCCACAAATTCCCGAGGGCGAACACTGCTATCTGCTCTTAATTCCCATCGCAGCAACATCCTTTCACCTAATACTCCCACATACTGGCCAACAGATCCCAATCGCAATCCCGACCTTCTAGACTTTTTCCTGCACAAAGGTCTAGGATCATTACACTGTTCCATTTCAAGGCTTGATGATCTTTCCTCAGACCACAGTCCTATAGTCCTAACCGCTTCCACATCACCCATTCCTAAATCATCCTTTCCTTCATTTATCAGGGGACCAGTTAACTGGAACCTTTTCCGTCAAATATTGGATGATAATATAGACCTCAGAGTTTCCTTAAAAACACCTGAAGACCTTGACGATGCAGTGGACTCCTTTACTATCCTGATCCAGCAAGCAGTTTGGACTGCATCCTCACCTGATCGTCCCAAAAAACACCTCAGTATAAATCCTCTACCCCAAGACCTATTGGACCTTATCCATAGCAAACGATGCTCTAGGGCCCTCTGGCAAAGAACCAGGCATCCTGATGACCGGAAATCGTATAACTATTATTCCAAACAGGTAAAAAAGAAACTGGATATCTTTAGAACCCAATCCTACAATTCCTACCTTTCCTCATTATCATCTAGTGATAACTCCCTCTGGACTGTAACTAAAAAAATCCTTAAAGTCCAATCCATTTCCCACTCCCTCCGCCGTGATGATGGTTCCTGGGCTTCGTCAGATGCGAATAGAGCTGAAGAGTTTGCTAAACATCTATCCTACACATTCACTCCCCATCCCGAACTCCATCCCACCCACACTGCTAAAGTTAAAGAATTCCTCTCTTCACCAATTCCTCTCTCTCTACCTCCAAAACCTGTTAACCCCTCTGAGGTCAAATTCCTCATAAACAAATTAAAACCCCGAAAATCCCCTAGATATGATCTCCTCACTTCACAAATCCTTAGACAACTTCCCAAAAAATCAATTATATTCCTGACCTATCTATATAATTGCATCCTTCGTACTACTAACTTTCCCTTGATGTGGAAACACTCCATAATCGTGCTGTTTCCAAAACCAGGCAAACCCGTTAATAACACATCATCCTACAGACCGATAAGTTTACTCCCTATCCTCTCAAAAATCTTTGAGAAAATCCTCCTCAAACGCATCCTACCCATACTCGAATCCCACAACATCCCTTCTCATCAATTTGGATTCCGCTCAAGACATTCCACTGTCCAACAAGGCCTTCGTGTTGTGGACCATATATCCTCTGCACTTGAAAACAAGCAATATTGCACTGGTGCCTTTCTGGACGTAGCGCAAGCTTTCGACCGGGTGTGGCACGATGGCTTGCTTTTCAAGCTCAAAACCCATTTACCCCAATCCTTATACCTAGTCCTCAAATCCTATCTCTCAAATCGTTCCTTCCAAGTCCGTTGCTGCACCGAATTCTCCGCTTACTATCCAGTTGAGGCTGGTGTTCCACAAGGCAGTGTTTTGGGTCCAGTTCTCTACATCCTTTTCACTGCCGATATCCCTCCAAATCCCGATACCTTCCTAGCTACATTTGCTGATGATAATACCATTCTATCCTCCCACGCAGATCCTCAAATAGCATCTCAAAACCTACAATCTCACCTCTCCTTGATTGAGCAGTGGTGCAACGACTGGCGCATTAAAATCAATGAAGCAAAATGTAAACATATTACTTTCACTCTGCGACGCAGATCCTGTCCCACAATCCTTTTCAATTCAATACCACTTCCCTACTCAGATACAGTCCGTTACCTTGGCTTCCTTCTAGACAAAAGACTAACTTGGAACCCACATACGAGACTTAAAAGACAAGAACTTAACCAACGATATGGCCAGCTATATAGACTACTAAGCAGGACATCTCATCTTTCGATTGAAAATAAACTTTTAATCTACAAGACAATACTGAAACCTATCTGGACCTACGGTCTTGAACTGTGGGGAACTGCTAAACATTCGAATATCAAACGCATCTAATCCTTCCAGTCCAAAGTACTTAGAACAATATCCAATGCCCCATATTATGTCACAAATAAGACCCTACACCATGACCTTAACATCCCTTTTGTCCTCGACATCACCCCATCCAGATTCTCAAACTTTCACCAGAACTTTATCCATCATCCAAATCCTCTAGCTCAATCCCTTTCCAGCTCCCACCATCGCTACAATCCCCCTCGAAGGTTAAAACGGCAGTGGCCGCGAGATCTATTGTAAATATGCTTCTGGAGTCCTGGCAATGGCCAGCTTCTCCACTCAAGTCCTGAGCATCTGTGGCTCTAGTGCCCTCCTTCAGCCTCCACTGGCTTTTAATACTAATGATGCGGCTGGAAAAGTGGCACTGGGATCTCTGGAGTCCTGCTTTGCTTTCCACATGTGGGGAGAAAAGCCTGGCTCGGAGATTCCTGGGGGAATGTATATATTGTATATAGGTATGAATGTGTTTAGAAGTTTTTATTTTATTTTGTTTATTTATTTTTTTTATTTTATTTATTTATTTATTTTTTCTATTGATTTACATTTTTTTATAAGTATTATTTATTTACTTTTTATATTTATAGTTACTTCTGTATTACTTGTATATACTGTATGAATGAGAACTTTTAGCCTTAATACTTATAGCCCTCCAACAGTGGCTGATTGTATTATTATTCAATAAAAATAAAAAAATAAAAATAAAAAAATATTTTTACTTCTTTACTCCAACTTACAGTGAAACTGAGTATTGGGAACTCTTATATTGGGGACACTCTTAGCCCCTATAAACTGAGTACTCTTAATTAAATAATTAATTAAGGGGAAAACGTGGTGGTTGAGTATGATCATGGCCCATTCACCTCAACTCACTCCACACCCATTCTCTTCCTTACAATGTACTGAACCCAAAACCCTCCTTGGATTTTAGTGGTAAAGATTAATTGTTAAATCAGATGTATTTTTAACACTTGTTTTTCATTATCATATTGGCATTGTAACAATTAATTAAGGAAGCATGCACATAAAACCCAAAAATATTTTTGTTTACTTTACCTAGAACTTTTTTGGAATTGAATTATATTTTATGAACCATTAAATATACAATTAATTCGTAGGAACCAACATTTTATGGAGTTAAATTCAGAAGGAGAATAATTTGTATTTAATGAATAATAAAAGATAAAACTGCTTGAATATAAACTGTTCATTGGCGAATAACTGCAATCATAAAAAGCAAAATGAAAAGTTTGTAAAATTGTATGTAAAATCTTTGTTTATTAGTAATATTTTTTGCATTTGCTTTATTTCTAAGACTTAATAACCTTATTATTTTTCTTGACTTTTAGGTCAATGTTTCGAACTTTTTGTCCATCTTCCTTACCCACTTTGTTTTTTCTTTAATTTATTAAAATATTTGTCAAACTTATTATTTAGATTAATTCGTCACATATCTTTTTATTTCATGTCATGAATTAATGTTTCTTTCCTATTTAGATAAGGATTGCAGACTGTGTAAGTTCTGAATAGATGTTTTTTTTTTTGTTTCCTTATCAAACATTTTTTTTCAACATACATTATCAATGTATTTTACCACTTTCTATTTACTATAGATTTTAGGATCATTCCTTAAGAAATCACAAGAGGCCTGCATGTTTCCAATTTACATTATGTTTTGTAAGTTAGTCACACCTGCTAAACACATTACTATTGAATATGACTTGAGGGATCAACTTGCAGTGAAATAATTAGAATTAACATCTAGAACAGTCGATTTTATTTACCCATGATCCCATCATTTTTCTATCTTTATATTTGACAGGAATCTAATCCATTATATGGTCTGAATAATATACTCACAAACAATATTTTTTTTAAATAAATCTAATATGTTTTGAAATTTTCAAAATTCTAAATTTTGAATTTTGAATAAAGCTATAAACAATTACTTATTTGATGGTTGTCATGTTACTTATCAAATAAAATCCCATGTAATAAGCTTTAAAATGTTACCAAACTTCACTCTCACACCATCATTTGTAAGTTTATGAGCATCTCAAATATGTTGAAATTATGTTGTTTCTACAATTTTTAAATATTTGTTATAAAAAACTACTCAAGAAACAAATAAGATTTATAATTTATTAAGTGAGCATAACTAAAGTATCAAAAAATCATGTAAATCGAAAACATTTATTTTGAAAGTTCAACATTTATTTTCCATGGGGACATAAATAACCCTTAATTCAACAACTTTTAAATATTCTAATGGTTATTGTATTATATATCTATATTGTTGGTTGCAATGTTTTAAAATTATTTAAATATTTCTCTCTTTTTTTTTCTTCCCTTGATAAACAATTTTTATTTAATTTTCCTTAGGTAAAAGTGGGTAAAGAGAGGAAAAAAACTGATAAATTAGTTGCTGATTCCCAGGAGCGTGCTTATTGGCGTATTCATAGGCCTCCTCCTGGGTTTGCCCCTCCTCTTGAACCGTCCCCCATTCTCTCCCTTCGAAAAGTTGTACCTGCCAGTCCCGGTAATTCACAGGTATGATGATTAATTACTTCAGAGATACAAAAAAAAAAAATCTCAATGTTTCAAATAATCTACAATTATCCTATTTCTTTTACCTTTTTAATTAATGCTAAATGTTTGCAGTTGGACATTCTGAAGCGGCAAGTTCCTCGATCTCGAGTGAGAGTGTCACAAGCATCAGAAAACCTTTTCCAACATGCAAAAATGTATATGGAGTATGATCCATTCCTCACACCAGCTCAGCCATCTAACCCTTGGATCTCAGACGACCCAAGTCTTTGGCAGTTTAACGCACCACTGTAAGAGATCATAAAATAATATTTATTAATTATTTAATGAAACTTGAAACCAAGATTTTTTATTTATTTATATAGTAGTCCCCAGTACTGACCTCTTTATATCAAACTATTAACATCTGTCTTTTTATCTTCGAAAATTCTCAAAAATTAGTCATTTTCTCATTTAATTAATTAATTTAATGAAGTACTAAAAACTCATGAATACACATTTGTTTTCCTCTCGAAACCATCCTTCATACGTCTCAGAGCTCCTTCAATTCAAATCCTCTGTTCATTCCCGCTCTTCAGATTTATATACCAAGACCCACCGATATAGTGATTTATATACCACTGCTCTTGTCAGATTGTTCATTAGCCGATCATCATTCCTTTGCAATTCCCTCACATCGTACATCTGTCGCTCCAATAACCTCTCTAACTTTAAATCCCACGTGTTCAATAATTTCTTATCCATCCAGTTCCCATAAAATTGTAAATAGATATCTCTGTAAATATGTATATAAATTATTAGATCGTTCTTAATTATTTTTACTTTATGTTTTTCTTAATTTATTATAGTTAAAAAGCATCTTATTATTTTTTTTTTTTTTTATTATGACTATTTATTTACTTAGTGATTTATTTATTTTTTTTATGTATCTCTGAGACTATTGAGCCCACATTTCTATCTTTTTGTATTATTCTAAAGGGACTTGTCCCAGAATAAATAAATTATTATTATTATTATTATAGATTTATCAGAAATGAATCCTCCAAAGAGATAGCAGACAAAATCATTAAATATGCCCAAAAATGTTATAAACAAAGATGCATAAATAAATTTACCAACAACAAATTATCTTCGGCTGCCTTTACCGTACTTAGGATACATAGCTTACTGAAAACACATAAAACAAATAATAACTTAAGATCTATAGTAAATAGTCTAATAGAAGCATTATCTATGTTCTTAAACCTGGCACTCAATGACACTAATAATTTTTATATAAAAAATTCATTAGAACTTAAAGAATGGATCAATAGGTTGAACTTTATTTAATTATTTTTTTTAATTTAACATAAAAGATAATGAAAATATCAAAGTAATCAGTCTGGACGTTACATCCTTATTTATTAACATACAAGTGGTCGATTGTATAAAAATATTAGAAGATAATCGGCATAAAATAAGGAATAACACAGAAATCAAAGATAAAAAAACATACATAGATGGGGTCATATTGTTAAATATAAAAATAATTATTTGAAGCCAACACATGGTCATTCCATAGGCTCACCAATCATTGAATTTAGGTGATTTGTATCTAACAGAAACTTAATTAAAATCAATAAAAACAAAGTAAACTAAACTTTTTTATCAATTCACTAAACCTGTTTTCATTTACAATTAAAATTAAGCCATCTATACATTTATATTTCATTTTAAAAATGAAAAGGTGGCTTAATTTTAATTGGAAATGAAAACAGGTATAGTGAATTGATAGAACAGTTCAATAAATATCACACAATAATGAAATTTACTTTATAAAAAACAAAGGACATTAGATTAACCCTTCTAGATATGAAAATAATTTGAACTAATAATAATAATATGAAATAACCAGAAAATGGAGAAAAACAGATACTAGCTGCAGTAGAATATTCATTTATCATTCTACCCAAAAAATAAATGTAAATAACGTTAATAATGGGCTATTAGTTATAATAATAATAACTAGTAGGCATTCATTCGCACAGCATATTGTTATCAAATGGCAAATTAATAGGTAAATAAAATAATGCAACGTATCAAAAGATAAAGAAATCAATTGTTACTTTATTGATAAATATAATCGACAAAGGAAACAAAAATTAATTTAAATCTTTATTAATGTTTGGAACCAACATGTTTACAAATTTCAATAATCTGTATCTTTGCTAAAAATTGTCTGATTTTGATGATTTTTTTTTTATTTTGTAGGGCATTTAGTAATCTTTTACATACTCATGGTCATAACCCGGAGAAAAGTGTATAATTTTTTAGTTATTCGCAAATAAAGTTTGTTTTCTTTCATAACTTGTTTTCCTGAATTTTCGGGGCGATTGGACTATTTTGTCCGCCTGAAGGAGAAGGAAGCCTTCAAAATTGGTGGCTCAATCTTGAGATTTGGTGAAGAATTAATGATGATATATCTTGCCGATCAAAAACACCATCCATAAATAATATAAACTCCTCCTCTCCCGATCATAGAGGCCTCAAGTCGACAAAATGAGACATGTATTCAATGACAGTACATCAATTAACATAAGGTTGTGTAGATGCGAACCCTATCCTTGCGTTATCTCGAAAATAGTACGTTTTTGGACTTTATCTTGCTGTACGCATCAAAATCTTCGAGATCCAATTTGTCCCATATCAATCTACAGACCTAACACCATTCCAGTATTGTAGCCTAGCAAAATGTTGGTATCGACTTTATTTATTTTAGAAAGAAAAAAAAAGTGGAAAATAAGATTCGCTAACCTCCCATGAAATTCTGAATCCAATGGTACCCCATTCATGATATTTGAGCATGACAGGAGCTTATATTTGGTACAAAACCAATTTCGAGCCTTACTGTAATAATATATGTGGGGATATTAGATATTGAAAAAAGTATCTGTTATAGCCTATGGTTTCTATTTCCTGTTATGGCCTTATCTTCCTAGCTCCCTAGTGCCTTTAGCATATTCATCTTGCATTTTATTGCATGAATAATGCATATAAATTTTCAATGAATGTGATGAAAAAATCATTTTTGTTGTTCCAGGGTTGAGATTCCTACTGAAAAGAGAGTTAAAAAGTGGGCCTTATCTTTTGAAAATCTGATAAAAGACCCTACAGGTTAGTTGATAAATGCTAATTATACACACACACATATATATATATATATATATATATGTATATATATATATATATATATATACATACATACATACATACATATAATTATCTTTATAATTTCAATTTTATTTTTCTCCTTTAAGGAATTCAGGAATTCACCAATTATTTGAAGAAAGAGTACTCCCATGAGAACATAAGATTTTGGCTCTCTGTGCAGGAACTGCGGCATTGTTCGCTAAAACAAGTTCCTGAAAAAGTTAATAAGATTTATGAGTTAGTATCAGTCATTTTCATTTGTATGTACTACCATAACATTACTATTTATATACATATATATATATATTATTGTGATTTTTAAGGTGAATAATATTTTTATTTTTAATAAAAATATTTTGAGTTTAAATTGCATAATATTTGAGCCTTAGGGCTTATAGGTTTGATCTCTGTGAATGATACAAGATCCAATAAACGACAGAACTACTAATAGAAATATGTATTTATAGTTAAAATTATATACACGATTAAATTTGATGCTGATGATTTGCCAGTTTGTCCAAAGATAATAGAAATACTGTTTTATGAGATAATTTGGTTGAAAGTTGGGAAAGAACTGCACTGATCGAAGACCAGCTGAGGCTGTCATGTAATGTCATAAATACTGCTGAAAACTGACTATAGTGGCCAAGAGGTGGAGGCTAAAGAATGCCATTCTATTTCTATATTGGCCGAAGGCCTGGAACCAATTAAATGCACTGACCGATGGTTGAGAAGGGACCGACTGTGCTAGCCAAGGGCCGGCTGACAACTTGTCTGGCCAAAGGCTGGGGAACAAACTGACAATAAAGAATAGTAGTAAGAGAGGGACTGTTGTAAAACCCGAGCTCGGCGGAAAGGTTAGAAAATATATAACACTCGCTTCATGTAATGCAGATTCCGATAATATTATATAGATAATAATATGCAGTTTTTATAAATGCTAGTGTTGGTATTTTTTAATATTTAATTGTATGGATTTATTATAATTAAATAAATAAGTAAAATATAGAGTCGTAAAAGGAAATGAAAAACATATAGTAATTAATTGTTTTAAATAATATTTTATATCATCTATAATTTTTACTTTCACTTCCCTTTGTCTGAAAATACTTATTTCTGTTTAAAAAAAAAGGTAAGTGAAAGTTGTCTGATGTGCGCATCGCACCAGATTTTTTTTTCTGTTTAAATTACAGGCCTTGTATATATTTTGCCAACTTACCCATTCTTTTCCATCTCTCCCTATCTTAGCCTATTTCTTTGCAGTTATCTGTATGCGACTCTATTGCATCTTTGTTGATTTGATCTATCCATCTCCTTTTTGTTCTTTCACGTGGTCTATTGCCTACTATTGGGGCATTCCTTGTTGTGTAAAGGCTTCCAGATAGATTACTTCGAGCTACATGCCCCGTCCATCTTATCAACCTCCCGTCGCCTTTATATCATGAGATATTGGTTGACCAGTTTCTGTCAGCAGTTCTTTATTAGTTCTCCTCCATGTATTAGTACTCTGATCCCACCACCGGTTATCGTCTAGGGGAATTTTTTCTTAAATATTTTAATACTTCTTCCTGGGTGCTGGTTAGTGTCCAGATCTCACAGCCATATATCAGAACTGGCTTTACCAAAGCATTATACACTCTTTGAGATTTATTGATATTTTTCAGGATTTCAGTCCCTTTGAAAGAGCGAAAAAGCTCTGTTTGTTATATTCTAGTCTATTTCTTACTGTTGGTTATTCATTGAAGTTATTGTGAAACCGAGGTGTTAGAATTTGTCTACCATCGGGAACAATTTCCCTTCTACGCATATCCTCTTATTGGATGAAATTTTCGGCTTGATATCATATACTTAGTATTAATATTAACTTAGTTCACTTACATACTCTGAAATTTTAATTTGTTATAAAGAAAACAACATCACCTTAAAATGGGAACGCTAACTGATTCACTGTTTAATCAATTCACTGTAAATTTCTAACAAATCACTTTCTGGACTAACATTCTTATGGACAGAAAATTATGATTTTCTGATTATGATTAAGAAAAACTATTATTTGAAGTTACATATAATAAACACCTATAAAATCATTTAAATATATTATAATTTTGCCAGATCTGGAAGAGGAACAGGCAGGTTTTAGACCCGGCAGGCAGACACACGATCATATCTTCTCTCTGAGAATGATTGTAGAGAAGGCATGGGATAGAGGTAAAGCAGTATACCTAGCTTTTCTAGATTTGCGGACGGCTTTCGACAATGTTCCTAGACTGGAAATATGGGATGCATTGCAAGACAGGAGAATCCCACAAAATCTTATTAGTGCAATTAAGTTAGTGTACCAAGACCCTAAGGGAGTAATAAGGCTAGCCGGCACTGAGTCTAGGTCATTCCATTTTTTTAGGGAAGTTAAACTGGGCGATAGCCTGAGCCCCCTGCTATTCATAATTTTCATGGATGCCATTTGGTAATTTTGTAAAAGGAGGACACCCAGAGCATTAGTGGGATACTGGAATATGACCTCAGTGTTGACACAGGCATTGTTGTACACAGATGATGTGGTATTGGTTGTGGATACTGCTGAATCGCTCCAGGTCGCTGTGAATGAGTGGTAAGAAGAACTGCAACTCAGAAGCATGCAGATCAATCCCTCCAAAAGCAGGGTCATGTGTGATGGACGAAGGAACGAGGATCTTAGAATCACTTGCAATGGAGAGACCTTGAGCAAACCAATACCTACTGCTACCTGGGAACAGTGATTGGTAGGGATGGAAGAATAAACCAGGAGGTCATGAATAGAGTCCAAAAGGCCAATGGAATATATTACCAAATATCCATGACACTCATTGGAAAGCAGGAGTTTAGCAGAAAAGCGAAGATTCTGCTATTCAAATCAGTTTTTCTCCCAGTGCTGATATAGGGATCGGAGAGCTGGACACTCTTGGACCGCCATGCCAGCAAGATTATCTGCAGAAATGAGATTCCTACGGAAAATATTGTGAAAAACCAGGCGAGATCGAATAAGGAATGAAAGGGTGCGAGATGAACTAGAAGTTACATCCGTCCTAGAGACGATTGAAGAAAGGCAGTTGAAGTGGTACGGGCATGTTAATAGAATGGGAGATGACTGTAAGGCCAGGTGGCTTCTGGAAGCAAGACCGGGAGGAAGGCGACCTCAAGGCAGACCAAGGCTTATGTATGCAGACTTAATAGAGAGAATTGGCACAGCGAGAGGAAGCACCATGCCGGAGATGAGAAGGCTTGCACAGGAAAGGGACCGTTGGACAAGATGGTCAGAGGCAGCTACTCCACGCTTAGCAGCACACAGGAGATAGTGAGAGAAGAAGAAGAATTTTGCCTATATTTACTAATATTTCATTATTCTTAACATTCTTTTTAAAGTAACAATATTAATATACTTTGTTAAAAGAATTTTAAATTTGATTTCAGTTGACAGGCACACAGGCACAAATAAATTTTTATAGCCAAAAAAAATGTATAACATTTAATTTAATAATTTTATGGTTTTATATTTTTAAAATAATAAAAAATAGCAATTATAAAAAAAATCTTGATAGCACTTAATAGAATTTGAGACAAACTGAAATTATCCAATGAATCAGTCTATTCATGGTCTGCGACTATTTAAAGAAAAGGTTTCATATACGGAGTCAGTACATAGCAACTGTTCTGAGATTAATGTTTATTCAGTGGGTTTAATTTGGTTTGCGTCAAAGAAATTTCTTTGTATATTTGTATATATAGTGTCATTATTTTTTTATATTAACCTTTTTTATGACTAATCAATTTCTGATAATGTTTGATGTGAAATAAATTAAAAAATATATATACTTTCTAAAAAAAATTTTTTTAGAAATTTGATACTCATTTTTAACTTTCGCACTTCAAAACATTACCAACTGCTGTTAGTTATAGAGCTAAACTATGTTCAAAAGACTAGTGAAAGATGATATAGGAGTGGAAGTAGGTATACAAAGGGCTGAGGTCAGACCTCTCAAAAAGGATACCCGTGACTAATTAATAAATCTCACACTATCTAGTGGTTCCAGCAGCAACATATAACTCATGGGGTACCTGGTAAAGAGCTGTGTAACAAGTCAGAATATTGGTTTTTCGCAACTAAAGGATAAAAAGCTGAATCCAATATATTGGCTCTGCACACCAGAGGCATGGTTTCTCCGGAGCCACTATATTGGCATTGCGCTGTGGTGTCACAGCCGTCCCGAGCCATTATATTAGCTTTGCGCATATAAAGGGGTAGGGACATACTTGCATATCTAGTATAAAATATTGGAGGGGAATTGTTAATGAAGTTGACATATATGAATGTTGAAACTTGGTGTAGTAGTCGGGTTCCTTCCATTGTATGTTATGGTTCCTTGCAAGTAAATAGCTTCTTATACATTTGTACTTGTTAACCTCCTTGAATCTTTGAATACAAACATACAGAAAATAAATAAATGTTAAATTTACCCACATAGTAGACCAAATTTCAACATTGATAGATCTTCAATTTCACAAACAACCCACCACTGTATTTACTTAGCAGGTACATTCTGCCCCGTAGTGCGGATAGGAATATCTCAATTTATTTAAACTAGTATATTTAAGTGAGAAAACTCTTGAAATCTTACGTTAAATAGTTGTCCTTCTCCCTTATGCATTTGAGGTAAGCCAATACATGTTTATTCGTATATACATTATAGTATATTATCGAGATAATCTCATCAATACACTCAATTAGTAAAGATTCATTCTTTGTCACAATTGTTTAAGGAACAATTTGCCAAAGAGGAAATAATTTACTTAATAAGCGATTAGCTTTTTCCAGCTGTAAAATATCCCTCCACTTCATTAGTTAAACATAAGACGCAGCTATCTCTAAACTTATACTAATCCACTATTGTATTCTCATTTACTAAGAGCATAGAACCCATACCTGGATAGATATTTCCTTTATTTAAATCTGAAAATTTCTTTCTATATTATCCAAGGGATTGTAGAGCTATTCTCCTCCATTTACCTCTACAATAAATTTTTAGTTTGTCAAAGACTTTCTTAAATAGCAATATTTTAATTTTAAAACCTAAACATGTGATAAACATCCCATGGCAACCATAACACCTATGTGGATTTCTGTTATCAGTGTCTCAAAAATGGTTCCTTATAAGGTTTTTAAAGCACGTGGCCCTTGTAGGAACCATACTCAGTCTTGGAAACCGTATCAAAATCTTTGAAAATCAATTTATCCCATCTCGATCCATCAACTTTTGAAATCTTGTAATTTTTCAATGACTTTTATAGTAGTGGTAGTAAGATTTTAACTTTTAAAATTATCAATTATTTATGAAATTTCCTTTCATTTGACACCTCATTCATCAAAATCTATTTTTCCTGAGCTACAAATGGAATCTCTACTAGCATATATATACCGTTAGTATTAGGCAATATTTAAACAGGTAATATTTTTAAGTAGGAAATTATTTCTGATTAAAGTTCTACTTATTTTGTTATCAACCCAGAGGGAAATATTTAAATAGGTAATAGTTGACCTCAAAAGCTAAAAAAGTTCATATGAACAATGATATGATTTTCAGCAAAAACGTAGGAAATTTAAGTCACATTTTTTGTTGAATAGAAAGCTATAACTAAAAAAATATTTAATTTAGATAATTAACAATTACATAACATAAAAACTAGACAAATTTTACTTTAAATTAATGCGGAGTTTGTCATTGTTAAAACCATTTAAAGAAGACTTTTGAGCAGATAAACTAATTTAAGTTCTGTTTTTTAAAAAATCATTATTTCTGATTATTATAATTTTTTTTTTTTTTTTTTTTTTTTTACCATCCTCCAAATATACTACAGATACCCCAATTTTAGAAAAAAAAATCCTTCTTTAATCAGCTTTAAGTCCATATTAATTATGTTAACATAATTAATATGGACTTAAAGCTGATTAAACAAGGATTTTTTTTTCTAAAATTGGGGTATCTGTAGTATATTTGGAGGATGGTAAAAAAAAAAAAAAAAAAAAAAAAAAAAAAAAAAAAAAAAAAAATTATAATAATCAGAAATAATGATTTTTTAAAAAACAGAACTTAAATTAGTTTATCTGCTCAAAAGTCTTCTTTAAATGGTTTTAACAATGACAAACTCCGCATTAATTTAAAGTAAAATTTGTCTAGTTTTTATGTTATGTAATTGTTAATTATCTAAATTAAATATTTTTTTAGTTATAGCTTTCTATTCAACAAAAAATGTGACTTAAATTTCCTACGTTTTTGCTGAAAATCATATCATTGTTCATATGAACTTTTTTAGCTTTTGAGGTCAACTATTACCTATTTAAATATTTCCCTCTGCTTATGAGACACCCTATATATATTGTAAATTATTTTTTATACTTGGTAAATGATCTTATGTGTGAGTATTATTGGAGAGCATGACCAATATTAGCTGTTAAAAGTAGAACAGAAGAGACATATTTGTTTCATTTTTAGGGAGTTTCTCGCAACTGGTGCTCCATGTGAGATCAATATTGACTCCAAAACCCAAGAAGAATCTCTTACAGAAATGAAAGCCCCATCAAGATTTACATTTGAAGCTGCCGCTCATCATGTATATACTGTTTTACTGGCTAAAGATTGTTATCCACGATTTACAAGATCTGACCAATTTAAAGGTTTGTTAGCTAATGCAATACAACCTCCAACCAAGAAAAGGTAAATATTGAAGTACTTACTTCTTCGTGAAATTGTAATTATTTATACTAAATTAAGTCTTTAATCTAATATGTATAGTGTATCTAAGATAAGTTTGTGTGTAGGGGAAGGGAGCTCGCGCAGCTTTTCCCCACTCAAATTCCACCACCTCCCCAAGATCTCTCTCTAGCTTCACTTCCCCTCTTCACCATAGCAACCACCTTATAAGGGGAAAGCGTTATTACGTTTTCTTCAAATTTCGCACAAATGTTTATTAAAGGTACGGATTTTAATTTAAAAATAAAGTAAAACAATGTCAAGGAAGGTTAAATAATCAAATTAAGAAGAAGAAAAAATACTCCAAGATTCTGTTTTCATGAATTGATATATTTATTAAATTTTATTATTATATATAAAATTACATTATATTATATATATTAAATACATTTTTTGTCTGAGAATTGATAGTTTTCCTCCTACCCAGTTTGCTTGACATAATAAACGAAAATTGATATTATTAATATTAAGTTTATTCTACCTATATATTATTAGACTATACCTTTCACCTACACATAATTATTTTCTTTTTAATGTTAATAGTTTCTCATACCTATTGTTATCTGGTCTTTTCTTAGCCTGAACTTCAGGGCGAAATTTCGGCAAACATAAAAATAAATACAATTTATTTATTTGTACTTTGTTTTTTGACTGAATCCCTCCAACCAACTTTTCTTCTAAAATTATAGTAGTTAATTGTTAAGAATATAATGACTGTGTTATAAGGTAAGCAGTGAACTGAAGATTATATATTAATGGAGATTATATAATGGATATTATACTTATGTTGCAATTTTATGAGGTTATAAGTTTTTTAACTGTCGGTCTCTCTGTAATCAAATCTTTGTTAAGGGTGTAACATCTACTGCCATTAATTTATATATATCACCATGATGAAAACTTATTGTAACCAAAAATTATTCTAAATCATATATATACAAGTTCCAAACAATAAACAATACACTTCAATTTACAAAGATAAATTTCAGTTCTGGTGCACATCCAATAAGTAATTTTGTAAACAATAGAATTGGCAAGAAACTATACCTTGTCAAACTATTTTTATTTTATTTATTCTCTGAGTTCTATTTACTTACAAAGAAGTGCGTGTGTGTGTATTGTAATATCACTCTTATATTTTACAAATAATAATATAATCTCGTGGAAAATTACTTTATACTGTTAGGATTCTTCCTAAATAAATAAGAGGTAGTTAAATAAAAAAGAAATTATAAGAGTATTAATGTATTAAATTGAAATTTATAAATATTTTATCTCAGGTATGGGTTACTGACTATCAGATAAAAACACTCAGACAAACTAAAATTGACTACACTAAACACTGTTTGATTTTAAAATAATGTCAAGTATGAATTGGCAATCTAATCTTTTCTATATAGACTATTTCTTCCTTTGTGGCACCAAATTCATTTGTCTTCAAACATTTTCCAAAGTTCTGCCAAACACATCATTCAAAGTGGTGACAGTTTTATCTACTCAACTCGAGTTCCCTGGGAAACCCTCTCTCTTGTGATTCCGAACAACTAGTCTCTCTGCCAAACAACTTGACATAGTAAACGAAGATTGGTTAAGGAAATGAAAAAAAAAAAATTCTACTTACAATTTTTTTTTTTTGTCCTCCTTTGCCTCACCTCTTAGGCTATACAGGGTTTTCCCGTGCCAAGGGGTGAGGCAGGGGATTAATGCCAGAATTAAAAGCCCCTTTGACCTGGGTTACCCGCATTACCCTGCTTGGCCACCCCGCCTCCTTGTAAAAAAAAAATGTAGAAGTACATATGAATTAGTAGAGAAAAGACAAAAGAGTGGAGGATCAGCAGGAAAACTTTTTGCCACTATGTATCTCTCTCTCTCCCTCTACCAACAGGCAGACTCTACCTAATTATTTAAAAATATTATCAGATCTAAAGTTATTAAACTATAGTAAGTTTATTTAATGTTATGAACAGATCTTTTACTCATCTGAAACACTGTTGAAATATTTTTATATTAACCAAAACAATTAGTCATTAGTTTTTTTGTCAAGTACCAATAACTTCTATGACTTTATATAGTAGTCATTATTTTTTTCCTGTAGTCAATTATCGAATTGTTTCATAGTTTGTATTCAACCATTTTTTATTACAACTAACAATGAGATATAGTTAACTTAAGTTATTTAAATTAAAAGTAATTTGGAGAAAGACATTTTGAAAATTCAACTTTTCAGTCCTGTCTTACAATATCAATGAAAATAACATCTAGCTGATATTGAAGACCACTTCATTATACATTGATATAGCTAATTTAATCATAATTTTTGTTGCTGTTTTTGAGAAATTGGTAAAAATGTGTAAAATCGATTCTATAAAGTGGCGTTTCATGTTAGTATATTTGAGTGGAAAAGTTGCTGTAATATCCTGGACATATATCTATCTTAAATACATAATTTCAGTTCCGCATGGTTCTTCTTTTTTGAGCTAGGCCGTTAACACCCACCCATGCACATGTGTAATCCCAGACCATTTTATTGGACTTGGTTGTTTGGAGGGGATACCTTAAATCAGTATCTCCGTTGAAAATCCGTAGTTGGAATATTTCATGATCACAATACTTTATTTACTCTTACTATACATTTCATATGTAGGTTGGTAATACTGAAAATACAACCTATTTGTGTTCAACAGTTTCATTATCTAAAATTGAAATTTTACTGTAATTTACTCTTAACAATTTTACTGAAGGGTTGTCTTTTTCTTTTTAGATTTTTTGGATTTGGAGGGGTTGGGAAGAAAAAAAGTTGTGCGATAGCGGGAGCAGCTGCGGTCGTAACCGCAAGTGCTGGAAAAAGGAGAGGAAGTGATAGGAGCCTCACCGGAGCAGCTCATGAGGTTCCTCCCTGCTTTACTTCCCAAGTGCCTCTTTCTTCTTCTCAATCCAATCTTCATGAACTTCCAGTTCGGTAATGCTAGTATAAGTTTATTTCTTGATTTGTTCTTTATATCATTAACAGTAACTCAGTTTTCTGTAAACATCTTAACTGATAAAAATAATCATATTTAGTTCTTATTTTCCTTCTTAGTATTATTAATTAAATAATAACTGTGTTTTCTGTTAAATTCAAAAGTACCAGAATGTTAATTCTCTCCTGTGGAGTTGTCAAAAGATTTAAGTGAGAATCTGAACCGATTCTACTCTTGGAAACGTGCTACCACTTTTAACTGGCCTAAAACATATTCAACTGAATGTTATCTGTTTAATAAACTATGATACATCCTTACTTTTTCTTTTTAAATCTTACTATACTATAGACTATTTATGGATGTTAGCAGCAATGGGATGTTATGTATTCCTATGTATTAATCTACAGCTTCCAGTAAAACTTAGATTTTTTTTCTTCAGCTGTGCACACTCCTTGCTCTTTTTTTTTACTCTTGGCCTATATTTCCTTCTGCCTCTCCTGTATCCAGTGGTCTCACTGGTGTAGTACTTTTTCCTCTTCTTAAGGAGAAATGGTTTGGCTTATAATTGTCTTCCATCTACACAGAAAGTTCTTAAACTATGCGTAGTTTTGCTCACTCTTTAACTAATTGAAATCGCTGTCAACAGCAACAGCAATTTGGCTGTGGGTTCCTCATATGCGGTGCAGGCTATGGTAGTGCGCTCAGTGGATTTTATTGATCAGTAACTGGGGCATAGGGAATCAAATGTTCTTATCATGTTAAATGAGGTTAGCTTGGAAATCCCTTTTAGCACACTATTTTGCTTATTCTGTCAATCTGGCTCAGTTGTTAGAGGCCACCACATAGCAGCTAGATCATCCACAAAAACCAAAGATGGAAACTGCACTTGTTCGAGCAGATCAACCAAGACTACTTGACAAAGACTTGTTTTCACTGGACACAAAGTCCTGTTGATAACCTTTATACACAGTATCTACTAAAACAGAGAAGATACCTCTTATTCATAATTTCTCAATCCTCTTACTTCTGCAACTGTTAGAGCACACTTGGTCACCAATCACTACTGGAGGTGGAGGTGGAGGTTATGTAAAACAAAAATAGCAACATATACTTCTCTACCCTCTTCATCATCATAGTGATCAGCAGGATAATTGCTGTTCTCCTACCTTTGATACATCCATCCTGCATAGACCTGTGATCATCAGGTTCTCCAATAATACCTATAAGAGAAAAGAGACACATAGGCTTCTAAGACTTAGCTAGTTGCATTTCCTTTATAGACAAGCTGACATCAACAATTTTGGAAATTATTCCTTGTCTTGGCAATCATTAAAGATTGCTGAAAGCCTTTTTTCAATATAGGAATAATATTCTTGAGGTTTCCTCCAATGTAGACGATACCTGGGGAACGAACAACCATTTGATTACACAGGTATATCATTTGCTTATATAGATACTTAGACACACACATATATTCACATAAGTGAATATATACACATAGTATATATTGTTTACTAGATACTATTCTTTATAGAAGTTAAAATATATACTACTCTTATATTAGTTAGTTGGTTGTGAAAGATACATATGTATATTATATTGTATGTAGTTATGTATGTAATTGTCAAAAAATACAATGGGGGATCAGAAAAAAAATACTCTTAACTTCCAATATTTAAATGAAACTAAGTTATAACAACCAAACACACAAAAAAACTACACATACTGACTAGCAAAGGAACAAAAAACAATCAAGTAAATAAAGTAATAACACAAGTAACACTAGACATCAATAAGCGCAGTACAACATGTAGCAGTTCACTGAATCTAACCTCTTGTGTACTTATCAAGGATAGGTATATCATTCCTATATGTTGAACTAAATACAAAATAGGTTTGCAATGCATCTTACTTATTTTTGGAGAAAAAAGTGTCAATTTGTTAAGTTTAACCTTAAATGCACTCAAGTTCTCAACCATGATTTATTTCACCTTGGATCAGTTTTTAAAGGAGTCTCTTTTTTTAATACGATAAATCAATTTTCTGGCACTGTTGCTTGCCTTCTTATGTGGAATTTTGTTGCATGGCCCTGTGAACAGTTGTTCTAAGCTGCTCAGTTCTCACAACTGTTAAAAATAACAACTTAAGAAATTAGTGTGTATGTGCTATTTTAAAGGAGGGGATGATATTATCCCCTCTATCTAGTCTTTCATTCATGATTCAAATTATAATCAATTTCTGAATTAGTGCAAGAGAATGAAATAATATTTTTTTTTATATTCAAGCTGGTTGCCATTTGACAAGGCTGAATTCTGATTTCGCATGGATAGAGGGAAAAGTCTCTTCCTTCATACTGCCAACCTAAGCTCCACCTCCAACATCGTTCTTTGAGTTGTTTGCCTTTATTATATCTTTCGCAACTTCCACAGTTTGGAAAACATTATCTGTGCTCAACATAATTTTTAAGAGAAAAAGTTTATTGAAAGAAAATAATGTAACAGTTTTATATTTTTATTTAATATTTGCTGCTCATTTTAGGGACTGTGGGGTGAGTCCAGAAAAAACTTTGTCCAAAAAGGAAGCGAAAATGGATGCTTCCAAAGGTGGACTGCAAGTTCCTGGATCATCAGTGGATGTGGTGTCCAGGAAGCTCAGTAACTGTGCACTTGGGCCTGACCCTAAAGTAAGTTGTATTTTTAAGTATAATTTCAAAAATTTATTCATGATTCTCTTCTCCTGTTCGGAGTGAATATACTGTATAGAACTTTTCTTTCCTTTACACAATTATTTTCATTGCCTTCCTACTGAAATTGAGTTTTTTTTTGTTTTTTTTATATGTCAAGTATTTGGGATAAGTGCATGGCTTATTAAAACATTATTCTATTTCAAGGTAGTATATAGGCTGTACTAACACCCACTTGCTTCTCATATTGTCATCTTCATGATTGCCATTATAATAAGATGCATTAAACCCCCTGCACGCAAAGAGGAAGCTCTCAAAGAAAATATCTTGTGGTCAAAATTTGATAGTATCCTCTACTTGGGTGTTGCACAGATATGGTGTATGGAACCCTATATTTTTTTGCTGTTATCTCTATCAGGTGGTGGTAATTTGGTGATAGCCAGTTGTGTAATAGAATTATAGTAAAATAAATAACTAACAACAAAGGATTACGAACAACAAATGGCTTCTATTTTTGTATATGAATTTTAGCTCCTAATTGAATATTTTCTCCTAAGATTTTCAAAATTACATTCAGAAAGATTTTAAAAAAATCTTATTCTTATTTTTTTTTTAATCTAAATTAGTATTGTTTGACATTTTAAAAGTTCTTCATTAATACCAATAAAATGATGCTTATTCAAATATAGATAGTTATGTTAATTATTTTATATTTTGTGACAATCATCCAAATTTTTGTAGCATTCCAAATGAAAAAATGTCTGCAAGAAGGTCAGTATACCTTCATTAGCATTTTCATTGGTTCTACAATTACCTATATTTCCAGACCTATAATTTTTCCTTTGAGAATCAAATCTTTGGGAGAAGCCATTTCCGAATCGTAGTAACCCCTCAACATTTGTAGGTTTAGTATTCATGGGTTTTGACCATAGTAGAGTTCTACGTTTGTGAATTGCTTATTTCACTATTTATGATTACAAAAAAAATCATAAACATAAACAATTCCTAGTACAGTTTTAATTGGTAGTTAATACGTATGTTTTCACTTGTGATTTGGATGGAATAAAAATCTATTGCACAAAGTCAAATTTTCATTTGTTCAGTGTTAACAAAATTTATATTTTCCAACAGACAGAACAAAAACTAAATTAAGGAGAAATATAAATATATGAATGAAGTTAATAAATTAAATGAAAAGAAGAATTAATTACATTTAAACATTTTTTTTTCCAGCTCTCACCTCTTTAAAAAATATAAACACAAAAGTTTTTAAAATAAACATTAAATGTTTATAAGATTTAACAAATAAGCAATAAAACATCTGTAAATTGTAAATACTGAACTATATAAAATATAACAAATAAGTAAGGCATTCTTCTAATCATTCACTAACTGGTTAGTTGGACTCTTTGCAATGTGGCTTGCTATATGTAATTACTTAGGGCTTTTCAATGAGCTCTTTTCAATAAACTAAATAATTCTTCTGGAGAACGTGTCTGCCAACCAAAATATTTATATCCACAATTACAAACCGTAAAATAACTGTTGCCCTCATCCACCCATATCCCATAGCTTAACACTTAAATTGAGCGATTCAGTCCTGCATCGGAAAATTGACCATATCAATACAAGATCAAGACTGTCATTGAGATAGGGTGGTACAGTGTCAACAGCACATAAGCCCGGCATATAAAGAAAAATCTGGCGCAACACACAAATTTCACTTACCTCTCTACTTTGAATAGAAATTATTTTCTGGCAATGTTGGGCTATTATAAAATTTTTGAAATGCATTTTAAAAGGAGCTAAGGCTTAAAGCTTACAAATAACAAATCATTAAGACCATTATAATTACACAAATTCTATGTATTATATCGACAGTAGGAAATAAAATCTAGTCTCTCCATCTGCTTTTATAAACCACACAACTTCGGTCTCTGAGCCTTTCAGTTGCATTCTTTCAACTAACTACAATTTCAACATTTTTGAGTAATGTTATTTTAGTGATATTTCAAGTAGAAAAAGTTATCTATACAGGCAGGGAGTAAGTTGATTCCAGAATAGGTCATTGCAGTGTTGAAATATACAACTGTGAATAAAGGTATAAATTTTCCCACTAGAAACATCACTAAAATTAATTATAAAGAATGTTGAAATTGGAGTTAGTCATTCTGTCAACCGAAAGGCTCATATATGACCGCAGAGGTTTAAAAGTATATCTGAATATTTAACCTATAAATGATTATGGACTGTAGAACTATTAGTTATTAAGCTCTTATTTTCCATTGTAAAGTTTACTTAAACGAAATTACGAGATTTTCATTGCCTGCCATGGATAGGTCAAAACCTGTCACACCAATTGTAAGTGGATAATGTTGGGATTTCACAAAGTGAAAATTCATAAAATTATTCCCTAATTAAATTTTCTAAAAGGTTACTTGATGATTTTTTGGAATAAACAGCTGATAGATACCTAATTATTGAGAAAATTGTGAAAATGTGTTTCAGCATTGATATAAAGTGGCACTTCCGGTTAGCCGCTTTTAAGGAAAAAGTTGCTGGCACATCTAAAGGTATTATTTGGCTGGCGCGGTCGACGACAGCGACCGCTATTCCCCCCTGCCAACCGCTGTTGGCGTACCTATTTCGCTGAAACTGCTCACTGGGGTTGTTATAACCTGCCTATAACCTTCGAACATTTCGCTGTATCTTCGAAGATAAAAAGATGGACATAATATAAGAATAAAAATGAACTTCCTATAATAATGAACATCTCTGACTACCACTTTTTTATTTGAGTTGGAAAAGAAGAGAAAATGTTGTTCATAAAGAGAAGGAATATCAGTATTTCGATGTGATGCTCATCATCAAAGTTCCTCTGATATTACATATTATTAGTTTGAAAAATAATAGTAATTAATACATAATTGGTTAGTAATAAATATCATATATTTGTAATTAAATCTCAGCAAGCGATGTTTTATAGTTTTATCAATAGTAATCAGTAAATCACCACTTTAATTAAAAAATACAAATCGTTTTTTCAATGGGTGGATTTTAGTATTTACCTGACGATAAAATTTGTTGGATTCTTTAATTTATTTAATATCGTTTGGATTTAGGTATATTTGTATTTCGCTGTAAAATATTGCTGGTGGAATAAATAAATAAATAATCTTGTTACTTCAACCTCAAAAAAATAATTTACTATTGCATTGTTTCAGTTTTAAACAATATTTGTTATAATTTTGCCAGACTTGAAAGAAACATAGGAAATAAAACGTATCGACATGACTGTTATCATCAAAACAATGCTCTGATATGATAACATAACCTACAACTGCCGAACCGCCAACAGCTCCACTGCTTTACGAGGAGTCAGATACGAGCAGCTTATATATGACGTCATACCTAGACTGCCGAGCAGCGCCAGCGAAATAGGTTCCTTTCTATTCCACTAAAGCAGTGGTCAACCGCGAGCAGTCGCGGTCCACGTGGACCGCGCCAGCGAAATAGTACCTTAAGGCATATACCTATCTTGGCCTACCTACCTAGGCATATACATGATATCAGTTTTGTACGGCTTTTCGTTTTTTAGCTAGACTGCTAACATATGCACACACAGACCATTTTTTGAAGCTTGGTTATTTGGACTCCGGGCACCCCAAAACGTTGAAAACTCAGATTCAAAAATTTTCTCAATCGCAATATTTAACCTTACTATATATTACATATATACATTAGTGAAAGTAAAAATAGACTGTTGACATTTTTGGAGATAGCTTTGTTTTTCAGGTTTCTCAACTGTATGTTTAACTTCTGTCAACTTTATGTATTGGTCTCATTAACTCCAAACAAACAAAAAGTTGATTTTGTCCAATGGATTTTTTGTTCCATCCATTTTATGAGTGAAAACCTATTAAATATATACTGCTACTGTTAGTGCTAAAGATCTTATATATAATTTTACCATTTATATTCTATCTGTGCTAAAGGTGACATTTTGTAGTCCACGACTATGGGATATAACAGGAAATAAAATATGAAATTACAATAATAATTCAGTTTTTATACTCTCCCATAAAACAATCAATATTTAAATACGACTTTTTTCACTGACAGTAGCAATATGCATGTTCAGTATGTACTGGGATTTTTATTTTTATCCCGAATCATCAAATTCACAATATGAAAATGTGGAACTCTTCCAGATATTAGTATTCTCTGATGAACAAAATTTGTGGATATCAAACCTGTGAATGTTGAGAGATTGTTGTTATTGTATTTCTGAAAACCGTTTCTCCCAAAGATTTTATTCTCATAAGAAAAATTATAAATCTTTAAATATAGATATTGTTTAACCAATGAAAAAACTGTGAGGAAGCTAACTAACCTTATTTGGTAGACATTATTTGCCTTTGCCAATGTAATTTTGAATCCGCATAGACTGATATTCTTATATAGCTCTAGTTCTTTCCTATTTTGGGCAGCATAAATATTTTGTGTGCTTTTATAATAGGATATAACAAAGAGTTAGAATAATGTCTTTATTGCTAGTCAGTAATATTCGACTCAATATTGAAATTTCTAGTCTTAAATTGTTTTATTAGAGTTCATAATTGTTTAGTATCCGTTAATGCATTTAAATTTTTCATTCAGGTTTATAATAATCCTTCCGTTTCTGAGTAACTTTTTTTTTTTAATTCAATATTTACACTCAAATATAGTTATTTGGTGTAAGTATTATTCTGTTTTCTAAATATATACAGAAATCTAAAAGATTTATCCTGGAAATTCATACATTCACTGTTGAACCAGTGTTCTTTTCCTAATTTGTTACCGTTATTTATCAGTTTTCCATTAAAAGCGCATTCCATAATACTTTCTAATAATAAGTTTAATTTTTAACCTAATTCATTGTCCTCATCTAAGTTAAAATAATTTAATTCATTTTCTAATTTTGTTTTAAAATATAATTCGTCCTGCCATGACCATTACAA